GAAACAACAGTCAAGCTCTCAGTGGTAGCCAGTGGGAACTGGGGTCTGGGTTCTCAGCAGCCATAGAAAGTGTGACATGGGGTCATAGCTGTGTTCATACAATGCTTTGCTGTTTGCAAAGCTGGAGGAAGTTATGCACATCTCGGAGAGCTGATACAGTTGGGGTGCCGATGTCATTACCATAGTGATGACTGATGAGGAAATGGGCTCAGGGAACTTAAATGATTTGCCCAAGGTCACACAGCTGGCCAGCTAGGAAACCGACCTTGCAGGCAGCATCCTGCAGGACAAACGGCCCCTTGAAGATATTCAATAAATGTTTTCAGTAACTATAGTCTCAAGGTTGGAGAAGACATTAAGGATATAACCTTTACTAACTGAATCCTTTCTATGATAGCCTACCGAGGGCAATCTGCTTGAATACCTCCCACAAGGGAGAACTCACTACCCACCTTTATAATTCACTACATGAACAGAGGGAAGATGACGTGAAAACACACAGTCAGAAGAGGGACACGCAATGATGAAGGTGGCGACTGGAGGTGTGTCTACAAGCCAAGGAAAGCTACGGATTGCTAGCAACCCCCAGGACTTGGAAGAGGCAAGGAAGCATCCTCCCCCAGGGACTTCAAAGGGAGCCTGACCCCACTAACACCCTGACTTCAACTTCTGGCCTCCAGAACCATGGGAGAATGAATTTCTGTTGTTTTAAGCCCCCGGGGTTGTGGTGCTTTGTTAGAGCCGTCCCAGGAAACTACGCTCAGCTAGGCGGGGAAACATTTAAGCGAACCACGGAAACGTGGTCTCCAAAGGATTCCTCAGCTTGCTGCATGTTTGAATTCCTTGGGGTTTTTTTTAAAAACCACTGATGACTGTGTCCCACCACCTGAGACTCTGATGTCATGGCTCCAGGCTTCGGCTGGAGCACAGCTCTACCGCTCCGCAGCCAAGTTTGAGAGCCTCTGTTCTAGATGACTGAACGTCTCACCATGTGGAGACCAAGCAGGACAGACCCACCAAGTCCAATGGCATCTATCTGGCCACGGTGGCCCATGGAGTGGGAAGCCAAGTCAGCTGCCACTCATGGTTAGGAGGAAAAGGACCGGTGTCTGTTACGGGTCCTCAGAAGATGGAGACAGTGGGTGAGCTGCCTTCTAGCATGTTCTCATGAGGCAAAGCAGGTGAGCAACGGGTGGTCTCCCTCCCGGTTCTGGGCATGAGCTGTGGGTCCAGAGGCGCACTGCCCTGAATGCAGCACGAAATGAATGGCAATGACCGTGCCAGAGAGCAGCCCGAGCACGCAGAGAGACATCACACATTCCCAGCCACCTGCCTCTCTCCCTTGTACCCTTCCTGCCCTTTCATGCTCAGTAAATATTTGTTGGGCATCCCTCACGTGCTAAGGACTGGGAAGGTGGCAGGGAATGAGACGGACACAACCCCTTTCCTCCTCAGAGTATAGGGAGGAGCGGATCAGTGAGGGCACCTGCCTCAGTTGGCCCCCCGGAGACATCCCGAGAAGCCAGTTGGGGAGGAAAGGCAACGACCAAGATGGCGTCCTTGACTATCCTCCCTGATGTGCTCTAGGACAAAGCAAATGTGGGAGAGGCAGATTCAAAGGCAACAGTCCTGCGGTGTCCTCTGAAGTCTTACCTTACCTGCCAGGGTCCTCCCTGGGGACGTAGTCATTAAAAGAAAGGACAATGGAACATTAAGTTGGAAAATTTAGGTCTCATCAGCTGAGCTCACTGTATCTACCAACAGGCTTCCAGAGCGTCCACTTCCAACCAGCTGGGGCCAACGGGAGTGCCCCATTTGTATAACCTCAGGGGTCCCGGCTCTAGGAGGAGTCCCCAACCCACTTGTTTACACCCACAGTATTCAACACGCAAACATGCTGTTTGAGATCCCGGCCCAAAGACCCGGTCACGGAACGACAATGGGTTTGAATCCTATCGAGGTTTGCCGGGGGCCCCAGTGGGCCACTGTCTGAAAAGTAAACGGTGCAATCCCATTTTCAACGGCGGCTCAGATGGTCCGGAAGGAGCCTGAAAACCAAACCCAGGATGAGATGTCTACTCTGTAGCTCTCCGGAAATATTGACCAATGATTCCCCAAGCCTGCGGTGGGAGCCCGTCCTGGGCACTTGATTGTAGGACGGGGCAGTGAGATGAGAAGTGCGACGTGCAAGGTCTGTCCCTTTATGGATGGGGAACATGGAGACACGTTTCGCCCTTTCAGCAAACTTGCTGAAGAGAAGCTTACCGCAGCACGAGTCAGTCAACAAGGCTTGTCTACATTCAGGGACGTTTCCTTCCTTCAGACCGTGCCAATGTTGCCTCAGTCAGCAGTGAACTCTGGAAACCCTCACAGAAAAGTGATACCCTTCCTTCATTTTCATTGATTTTCCAATTTTGGTTAAATTGTGTTTATCTTTTTTGGGGGGAGCCGTTGGTACGCTGTGGCCAGAAATCCTTAATTCAACTCCCATCATTACATACTTAGTGCGAGTTAACAAAAACCCAAATGAAGAGATCATGCACTTAAAACACATCAGTCCCCCAAATAAACCTTAAAAATGGAATAACCCATTATATTATCACTTCAGTTTATAAATAGAGACCTACAAAACATATCTGTCAGTAGGAAGAGAAGCCAAGCCAGAGAAGTGACCGCATTTCGTCTCCACCTTAAAAAAATTTGCACGTGTGCCTCTGGGAGAATTAGGAAAGCTGCTGTGTGTGTGCGTGTGTGCCTCAGTGTGTGTGTGTGTGTTCACACGTGTGAACACACACACACAGGGAAAATCAGAGGTGGGAAGTCATTCCTTGCCTCCGAAGGAGATAATACAGCATCGAGTGATCTTAAACATAGGGCTGACCAGAAAGAGAATTTGACATGACATGGAGGAAGTAGACTCGGTGTGTTTCTTTTTTCCCCGCTTTCCTATTTTTAGCCAGCCACAATCACATTTTCCAAGTGACAACCACGGTTTCGATGCAGAGCTCATTCCCTTCCTCCCTTCCAGAAATCCCCACTCCTAGCTATGGATTCCCACCCCTGGAGTGCAGAATCTCAGTGTCATTTCCAACTCGTTCCTGCCTGTACCCCCAAAAACATACAACGAAGAGTTTCGGGAGTGCTCCAAGCGTGCTAGTAGGCAGTGGGGCTCCAGACATGCAAAGGACCACAGTCTTTACTCTCCTTAGGTGTATAGTTGAGGCCGACGTCGCCCACCAGAACTTTCTGTGATGGTGACGATATTCTGTCTGTCCTGCCTGATACACGTTTATGTTTTCCTATCAATGAGTGTAAATTAAAATGTAAATAACTGCCCCTGACCAGTGGCTGCTGTGTTGGGCAGCACACTTCTAGACCCAGAGGAAGGGGATATTCTTCAAGAAGACACGTGGCGGCTTAAAGGAGCACATGCGTATGATGGCTGAAGTAAGGGCAGTCAGAGGGTGGGGGGACACCAAGGCAGGGAAGGCTCAGGTCTTAGGAAGACTCTTCTTTTCTTTCCTTTCCTTTTCTTTTCTTTTCTTTTCTTTTCTTTTCTTTTTTTCTTCTTCTTCTTTTTTAGAGGGAGAGAAAGGAAGTGGGGAGGGGCAGAGGGAGAAGAAAAGAAAGAATCTCGAGCCGACGCCACACCCATTTGGAGCCCAATGCAGGACTTGATCTCACGACCCTGAGATCATGACCTGAGCCGAAATCAAGAGTTGGACACTCAGCCGACTGAGCCACCCAGGCTGCCCCCTCAGGGGCAGTGGCTCTAACCCAGATTCTTGTGAGAAGCGGCAGCGTGGAAAACCACAAAGGAGAGGAGAAGGCACTTCTGACCCAAGGATTTGTTTAATCAAAGACATGAGGGGAGAAGGCAAGGGAGCCCAGTAGGGAAACCCAGTGGTTACCATGGGGCAGGTGGTGCTCGCAGGTCAAGGGTGACAGCAGGGGTCATGTCTGTGGGATGATGTCATGCTGGGAACCAAGAGTGCCAGGACAGGAGCAGATATGGGGTGGGGGGAAGGGGTGAGGGTCAGAGGGGAATCCCTAGGTTGGTTTGATACACTGGGTTTGAAGAGCCAAGAGTCTCTTCTATTGAGTCCTGTGGGGAGCTGCACGAGTCAGTCAACTGACTGAGTGGGACCTGGAATTCAGGAGAAGGGCCAGGGTCAGGGGGCCCAGGCTGGGGGGACGTAAGTGGGGCAGGAGCGCATGCCCTACATACATGGGACTGCGACCACTAGCTCCAACTGACTGTCACATCTCACATGACTGACTGTCCACATATGGAAACTGGGCCTAAAATTTCCAAAATTTGTGATTTTTAGGGGGCTAGAAGTTGGAATTTTTTAAAAAATAAATATGAAATCTGAATATTTTGACAGGGCAACTGATAGGAAGGCTTGAAAGTACCCTAGGCAAAAAGAAAGAGCAAGCGTGCCGACCAACGGAGGTCCCTGGGTCACCTGTGTGTGTCACCTGACCTACAGGATGGGTGAGCATTCCCAGTGACAGCCTGAGGCTGAAGCAGGAGAGGCTCCAGGGGAAACAACGGCTCACACCGCAGAGGGTTTGACAAAGAAGAGAAGTCGAGGCCACCTGAATCTGTGATCTTGGACAAAGGCACCTCCCTCCCATCTGCCCCTCCCCTACCTCCCTGCCTGCCTGTCCTTCCTTCCTTCGTCCCATCCCCTCCTTCTGGCAGACAGGTAAGGAGACATAGAATCCCCATCACAAGGGCGCATGAATAAGGGTTTGGTGAGGAAACAGAGGCACCAGGTCGAATAAATACAAATAATTCCTAAGGATGTGGCCGTTTAGAGTGAGTGTTTTTGGGGTTCGCATTTCCCTTCACAGATGTCCCTACCCAACTATGTGTAAAGTCCTCATGTCCACCCTTCCATATAAAGTGCCTTTGCCTGAAGTCCCACATCTTCCCTCCTGTGAAAGCCACGCTCAATTCTCATGAGAAACAAGATGTATGCCTTTCAGCTCACCTCCCGGTCCAGCAAGGCAGGTGACACGACGGTGACAATGTCGCCTTTTTCAGGATCGATGTAGAACATGTTTGGAGACGGCTTGTCAGGCGTCTGCTGTCGGATATTGTACCGTAGGAGGGCATTATCTGTGGCCGGGTCGTCCGCATCAATGGCGGTCATCCGCATCACCGTGGTCCCTGAGGGGACAGGACAGAGGGCAGAAGATGGTCACTCGGGGGACAGCGAAGGGCAGGGATGCCCCAGGAAAGCATTTCCACAGCCATGTTCTAGTTTTGTTTTTCTTTCGCTCTCCCTCCCACTCCATCATGTTAAAAGACCTGAAATAAAGAAATCTTTGCCGCTCAGCAGATTGACAGCTTAATTTTTCCTTCTGCTTATATGCTGTTTATTTGCCTGCGCTTTCATTCAAATGTGCATGTGGCTGCATGACAATGGCCTTTATTTTAAAAACTCTTATTGAATGCCTACTACATGTGGGGCCAGGGCCCGGTGATGAAGACACAGAGGGGAGCTAAGGCATTCTCTGGTGTTCAGCAGGTTAGAGACAGCATATAAAAAATAATAAACCATTACAAGTGCATTGAGAGAGAGCATTACAAAGACACAGGAGAACCACCTCATCTAACCTGGGGTTCAGCGAAGGTCCCTGGTGCAGACATCCAAGGGGGTGAGTAGGTGTAAGCAAGGTGAAGGAGAGGGTCCTCCATAGGAAAAGATGTTCCAGTGAAAGGAAACATGAACCTATATTCTTTGAGCTCCCACTGTGTGACAGCGACACTGTCGTAGGCACTTAAGATACAAAGACAATATAGAAATGAAAGTGATGGGGACTACCTGATTACGGCAACGGTTGATAAGGATGTCAGATACTGGGTCTTGCTCACACCCAGCTGATGGGATGAAGAACTGGCGTCAGCCACTTTTGGGGACAAGTGAGCACAGCTAGTAAAACAAACAAACAAACAAACAAAAAACCCCAAAAACAAAAAACAAATAAAGTCACCCATTTGGCATCTACCATCAGGAAACCCTTGCATGTGTCAACGACAGATTCTCACAGGGATGTTCCCCGCAGGATTATCCATCACGGTGAAAGATATGGAAACAATCTAACTGTCCAAATAACAGAGGAATTGCTAAAATGATGGGATTCCCCACGCTATGAGAAATTTTGCAGCTGCCTGAAAAAGGCTGTAGGTCTCATGGGTTCTAGCAAGGAAGGCTGTCCAAGAAAGAGTATTATGTGACATTATCAGGTTGAAGAATGTTGTCCATAGCATGGCATCATTTTTGTGAACATGCTTGCACACAGAAAATGCCACAATACTCTATACATATATTTTGTAGATACAGTTTATGTCCATAAAAACATAGCAGGTCTATGAAAATGAATTTCAGATTGGTTACAGCGGTGTAGGGGAGCAAATCTTGCCACCCCAAGATATGCCTCTTTGACATGATGATTACTCTAAACTGGTTATTTTTAAGAAAACTGCAGACACAAAGAGAAGGTCTGAAAATCAAGTGGAAGTTACCCCTTTTGTGAAAAACATTTACATCTATAAGGGAAATCTCCATTTGTGAGGGTATCTCCCTCACTGTATCAGTAAGAGGAGGGGGACTCTAAATGTCTAGAAACTGTTATCAGTAGAAAAGGCAGGATTTAAATCTGCATAACAACACTACCTTGTCGACTGTACTTTTCCTGGTCACCTCCCACCACTGATCTCCACCCCATCTTTGGCTGAAGATGGTATTTAGGGTGACAGCTTTAGCCCTTTCAGGAAATTACTCCATTTGCCTGGGTATCTCCATGTGTATAGGAGGTATACAGGTTGTTAAACTTTTGTTTGAATTTCTCCTGAAAAATCAAATAGATCTCATGTCAACTGGATTCTCAGATGAGCCAGAAGAACCTTGAAGGGCAGAGGAAGAATTTTTCTTCCCCAATAGTGGTTATATCTGGGTAAGAACAAAGGGGATTGGGATTAAGGATGGTGAGGAGGAGGTAAGACTTTGGCCTAATCAATACTGTTCTGATCATTTTTTCAAGGAGGATGGATTGCTTCTGTGATTAAATATTTAATACAAAAGGATCATAATTATAAATGCTGTTAATCTAAAAAAAAATAGCCAGTTATCCAACCAGCAAAATGGGTTATTTGGGAATAGCAGAGAATTGCAATCAAGGACCTACAAACTACCACAAAGCTATAGGCAAGTCCAACAAAAAAGGAGAGTGATGTTATTTTATCAAGGAGGAAGAGGTTGGAGGGGGGGATTGTTTTGAAGGAAGGTTCACTGGAGAAAAGCAAGAGTTCAAAGTGATGACAGTTTCTCATTGGGTGAGCGTAAGGGTGGTCGATTTCTTGTACTAGATGCGATGTACATCCTTCCCTGTTGGGACCTGTAACTGATGATTCTTTCTCGTTGATGATTCTTCTGATGAGCCTATAATTGACAATTCTCCTTGTAATTGACATGGAGTGGTTCACTCCCCTTTTCAACCGTCCCCTTGCTCCATTTTCATAAGGCTCCCTGTATTGATTTCACAAACCCAACAGAAGCATGGGCTAGAGCAGAATCAAGCACATTTGCCTCCTGGACTTGACAATTGTGAGCCATTGTATTTGACCCAGAGCAACCTGCCCAACTGTGATTTTTCATTGTAGTTTACTCTCCTAAGAATATAGGACCCACCTATCATTCTGACCCCTTCTGGACCCACAAAATGTGAACTAATGGGTAAGAGATGAAAGTGATACAATCCTATAGTTCCCAGCAGAAATATTCACATGCAGAAAATATTGAAACTTAAAGGAAACGAAAAGTTCATCTGGCTCAGATGCCATCTTGGTATTCCTTTCCTGGTTGTAACAGTGCTTCTCAGACCATCAAAGGCACTTTAGTTTTCCCCACAATTGGAATCAGATCATCAGCCATTAGGTCTGATTGATCAGACAAACAAGGGGATCTGACCACCATAAATTTGGATGGATTTCTAAAGCAGTCTCAGTCTTGCCGTAAGGCCAGAGGCATCAGGCATATTTTCTATTCTACCATGTTTCTTTGCCTTTCTTTATTCCTTTGTGAATTGTCATAAGGCAAACCTGGGGGTCAAGGGTGAGCACAGATAACGCTTGGCTTATGCACCCCCTTGTCTTGCCCCTTATCTTTGGAAAATATCAGCAAACAATTTGACATTTTGGTTTCCCACGAGGCACACAATGGAATCAGGGTCTTTCCTCCACCTGATGGTCTAGGCAGCTACTCCCAGGAGTCATAGATGAACAAGCACAGTAAAGAATAAAGACGAAGTCGCCATGGCTTGCATGCATGATGGCTTTGCACGAAAAGGATGAGAGGAAGAAAACAAGACCTCTGGGGCTTATGAGTTTTCACTTTTCACCAGGAAAGTCACTGGTGATGTCTTTTATCATTGTTATTGTTGCAGATTTCATAATGTGATAGGACAAAAGGGTATCCTGGAATATTCTTATGTTTATCCAGAAAATGCTTTTCATTTTAATGAATAGTTCAGGAGGAAATGGACTTGGTCTTATGTGCTGCCTCTGTCTTAGCCCAGATGTGGGTACAGAAGAGGATTCCTGAGGCCCGCCTCCATGGAGATGAATGATGCCAAAGTCATGTAAATAGGTCTGTAACATTAAAGAAAACAACTCTGCGGTAACGCTGAGGTTCAAGTCTTGCTGTATGAACATGGGCAAGTGACTCAGTCCTACCTAAGCCTTGGTTTTCCCAACTGCAACAAGAGGATATTAGTAACACTTTCGTCTTTGGTCTCTGTAAGGGTTTCATGGGATACTGAATAAAAGAACTTGGTGCAATGCCCGTACATTAGTGTTTGAGGAAGATACCTTTTCTTATCAAACCTGCTCTAGGTTCGAAGCCATCATGACTGTGCTGGTGATGGCCTCAGACAACGGAGCTGTCCACAGAACCTGGTACCTGCTGCAGCAGGGTGAGCCCAGGGGCCGATCACCTCTGAGTTGTTCTGCCTTACTCTCTCCTTTCTACCCTGCCCATGGCCTTAGTTTGCAGATAGGGGCTTCCATTGTGGGGATCACAACTCTATGCTAACATATACACATGCGTGTACGCACACGCACACATGTATACACGTTCTGTAGGTTACACGGCCTCTCCATGTGATACTCTATCATTTTCCTTTATGGTCAAGATTCTATCCTGCATCCCAGTCCATCTGCTAGTCCCAACACCCTGCTCTTGCCAGCCCCTCCCCTGGGGGGCTGGATCATGATTTTTATACTTCTCGGTTCTGCAGTGGTTGGATAAACTTCCTAAACCAGCATTTCCTAAACTGTATCCAAGGAACACTGGTTCCATGGGCTCAGCAGAGAAACGGACTCGGGAAATACACAATAACGACAAGTTAAGCAAGTTTCTATCCTGGAGGACTTGTTAGTGTCCTTAGTAAGCAAATGCATCTTGTAAATCTCCAAGAGAGAATAGCATTGGCAGCATTTCCCTAACTTCTCTGTTGACAGAACTTTTTCATTCTACGAACATCTTTACATGATGGGCGGTACAGATTATGGAGGGTACAACTGTGTTTTGCCCGTCCTTAAAAGCCCAGCATCTGACATGGGGGAGGTCTTTTATCAATGCTGAGTAGTCTTACAATTCGTCTTCTTTGGTGTTGACCAGAAACCGTGGCGAGCTTGTTACCAAGAAGAGTGGACAACATCGTCTGGGCATTTTTCACAACTGGCATGCTTCACTACCACCTCTAAACATATTTTTTGCTCCTTGGGGGCCCCTGTTGGAATTGGATTCATCAGACTGACATTCAGCAGACAGTCACCAGGATAGCTGTTCCCATGCCCTGGTGGCACCTGTGCCCTACCCTTTGCCCGAGCCCACACCCTGATCTCAGAAGAAGGGCTCGCTCGTTTCCATCAGCCAGTGGCTTCCCCATTCATGCTTGTCTTGTGCCAACATGTACTGCCCGATGGCAGAGAAAAGATAATTATATGATGGACACACATGTGGGTCCCCTGAAATACATTTCTGCCTTTCCCCCCATCACAATATTCTCCTGAGTGTCAAAATAAATGAAAACCACCCTGTCACTCCCAGATGAACTAGGAACGACCCCTCCAATGCAAATAAAAGAATTACAGGCTGCGAGTTC